TCGTCTGAGGCGCGGGTGTCACTGCGGGGCGTTCGCGTCGTAAATTCCTCGCTGGCTTCTGTGGGCTGAGCTGGGCCACACGCGTTTCTCGGGCAGGAATTTGAAAAAGTCTGACAAAAGACGCGTTTAGGGGAATAGCTCGTACTTGGGGAACGCGTGTGTAACAGCTGGGTATCAGAAAATGCATTTTCGTTACCAGGTTCTGCCCTCGCCGTGCCCAGGGCAGGCGCGGAGCTACTACGTGGACTGGAGGATGCTGCGGGACGTCAAGAGACGGAAGCTGGCGTACGAGTATGCGGACGAGAGGCTGCGGATCAATGCCATCCGGAAGAACACCATCCTCCCCAAGGAGCTGCAGGTACCGGGCGGGCGCCCCAGGCTCCCCGTGCCCCAGCACCAACGCTCGCGTCGGCCTCGTGCCATGTCGCGTGTCGCTGCCAGCACCCGGGCGTCGTCAGAGCCCCGGCGGTGCTGAGCAGCGTCTGTGACACTACGTACAGTGAACTCTCATTTTTCCCCTCACAGCTGTCACCGACATACATTTTCCTTATATTCCTAGAATATGGGATACTACATAGTTACTCTTACAGTTCCCTAAATAGGCTTCAGGTATTTTTTTTCTTGTTCAAGAACCTGGAAGCCTGATCCAGCCAAAACCACCAACCTTTTCAATTAGAAATACTGTATTTTACTCCTTGACTGAGCTACAAGCATGTAAAAGCTGCATCAGATCTTAAAACTGCACATATTCACTGCCCTGCTCTCAGCCTTCCTTACTGAGCATGAAAAACATTTGCAAGCATTGGAAATATTCTTACCATAGTCCTGTACGTATTTGATTTGTGGGGAGATCCTTTCACCCTTAAACATTCTGGGAGAGAAAGCGTACAAATCTGGTTTTATGTCTTGACTTTGCCATTCTCTTGGCAAGTCTAGTCTCCGTTGGATGTCCTTACAGGGAAAAAAATACTGAGTTGCAACTGACTTTGCTTTTGGTATTCCTCAGCTGCTTCTGTCACCTTTTGAAGTCACAAAGTCATAGCAGCAGTTAGATTGAAGAAAAAGACTCCAGGAAAGTAACTTTTTCCTCCCATACAAAAAGTTATTTGGGCTCCAGAATGAAAGTCTTAATTTTTAAGCTGTAAATCTTCTCTGAAAGAGAGGCTGCTTTCTGAATAATTCACTGGAATTAAACAGGCCCAAAAAATACTGCAAGTGTTTGGCTGTACTAGATAGAGTGTATATATACAGCTATATACGCAAATAACATGGACAGCTGGACAAAACCAGTAACATGTACGTTCTGCAGACAAGAAGTCCTACTGACCCTGCTGTTACAGCAGCCGAAAGTTGCATTGCTGCTGTCCTGATCCTGTTCTCCTTTGAAGGCGAACATCCCTTTAGAAGACAGCCTTACCCTATTGCTTCTCAGCACTCCTGCAGCGTAAGGGGAGTTTCTGTAGTCCAGCTTCAGACCTTCCTTTCACCTCCAGCTGTCACTTCCTACCATGACTGAACACAGGATTCTTTGGAGCCCTTCTGTGCTTTAGAAATAATATGTTAAGAGTGCTGCAGTTAGGGACGCTTACCTAGCCTCAGGCGACTGCCTCCAGGCTGCATTTCCCTGCTGAGCTCACTTCTGAAATGCCATTTGCTGCTACACGGTGCTTCCTGAGAACTGTTGAGCTCTCATCATATATGGAAACACCTTTCTGAAGCCTTCTCATTAGAACAGAGTTCTCGTTAGAACTTCTCCTCTGCCTGTAGCTCCTTCCAAAGTATACTACTGAGATTCCTTTTACAGACATCGAAGCATGTTACCTGGGAAGGCAGTTAATAGGGAATATATATTTAAGTTCAGCTCATCTTAAAGGACTAGCCCACCCTGCAACGTGGACAAAGCCAAGCAGATTTTGACTAACGACAGTTACTGCCATGAGGTTGTTCAGTCCGCGTAGTAAGGTTTACTTCATTTTACATTCACTGTTAGGACGTCCAGAAAGAAACGGTCAAGTGAGAACAGGCGCAAGCTCCCTGTCAAACAGGAAAGCATACTCGTGAGCGGGCAGAGGAGCTTGCGGTGGTACCTGCTCTACAGCTAGATTCCGCGGTCTGGCAGTAAGCCCCCTCAGAATCCCGGGGACACCGATAAACTCTGTGCTGTGGTCTTTGTGTTTTAGGAAGTGGCCGATAAAGAGATTGCTGCGTTGCCCCGGGACAGCTGCCCCGTGAGGATCCGGAATAGGTGCGTCCTGACGTCCCGCCCGCGGGGGGTGAGGCGGCGATGGAGGCTTAGCAGAATCGTTTTCCGCCATTTTGCTGACCACGCGCAGATGTCTGGGATACAGAGGGCTATGTGGTAGATCACCACGCGGATATACATTCAGGCAGAAAACACAAAACAGGCTGTGTTTGTGTGTTCGAGTATTTAAAGCAAGACTGTCCTGTCTTAAGAGTCCAGCATCAGCATCAAACTCGTAAGGGAAGGATGAGAAGCCATGCTGATTCATTAAACTCCCTCACTGGATTGCGACTGGTATCAGCTAACTGACACGCAGCAGCGTAATGGCACTAAGCCAGTCTGTATGAGAGGCAGTTTCGTTTCGGGAGCGGGGAATAGGGGAATCGCTACCTGACTGCTACAGAACTAAGCTGAAGTTTGTCAGAAATAAAGACATACAGCACAAGGCTCATTTAAGCAGTTTTTTTTGCCACCATATGGTAATTTCACCACGGTAATCAAGGTCAAAGCATAAACAAAATTGTACAACAGGGCAAAGTGGTATTCTGCCATGAACAAGGATGAGCACAAACTGAAAATAAAACATGGCCTCAAGTTTAGATACTCTTGCTATGCAAACTTCACGTGTATTAACAAGCAGACAAGGTGGATAAAAGACTTGTTAGAAACTACAGCGTGCTAGTATTTCTCTCCTGCTTGTAGTGCAGCACTTGACCCAACGCTTCAAGAACAAGGTAGCAAGTAAATCCTAGTCCAGACCGTAACAGGAGAGTAATGGCTTCCTTAATTAATCAGGTAACATCAAACCAACCCGTCCTTGGGAGAGACAGGAGAAGGAAGCAGGAGGGAAACAACAAGAGCAAGAAGCCTGCTGCTAAGCTCATGTTTGCCCTGTACTCTTCTTCAAAGCAGGGCAGCAAAGGGGAAGTGGCTGCTCAGTCCCGTACCTCGCAGTGGGGCGAGAGGCTGCCACAGGCTGGCCACAGGGAATGGTACTGCTGCCAGACAGAAGGCACACAGGCAGCAGAGAGAGCAGCCCACCACCCCCAGCCACGTCAGATTCTGGAGGACAGGCTGTTTCAATATACTACTTACTGTTACCTTAAAACCCTTAAAAGTTGGTGGGAGAAAGTGGAGCTTGTCTCTCTTTTCCTCGTACGCTGCTAGAGCCAGGACGAACTCGCCGTCAGCATCAGCAGCTCACTGCCCTCCTGCCACCTCGAAGACATCCCAAGGAGGTCAGTTAGCACAGGCGCTAAAGAGCTGCTTTCCTTTTCAAAATTAAACTGGTCACACAGCCAGTACTTAATTTCCGAGAGTAACCATTAAATTTTAATACCACAGGATCAACACCATATTGTTTCTGCTCAGCCAACAAGTGCTTGAGATAGTGGTTCTGCTTTCTTCAGCATTCCTCCCTTTCTGACATGCTTTACAGTTCAGCATACTTTCCCATATCTAATCAAAAAACACCCCTCACACCCCATGCAGCGAGCGTGACATTAGCCCCAGCAGCCGTCACTTGCCACAGAGGCCCGTCCTAGTTTAGGGCTCCGTCACAGCACTCTCCACTCATCTGAGATGCTTTTTCAAGGAGGGGTAAGGACATCCCTACGCTCCACTCTTCAGGAAACGGTGAGCCACTTGACTGAAGGAGATGCTTTAGAAGCTATTTTATTTAAATATTTTCTCCAACCTGAAATGGAAAATGACTGTCTTTGCTTGGAAGAAGGTTGTTTAAACCATGATCTTTGCAGCACAGCATGTCTCACATGGAAGATCAGTGTTAAGGCGGCCCCTACTTTCAAATATCCATCGGTATGTCCCCTTTGGATTGCTTTTCTCTGCTTTCAACCCAGGCCTTGTTGATGGTGCGCTTCATTTCATCATCCCCTTCTGCATACATCTTTTTTAAAAGGTTCATAAGCCCTTCGCTAGGATCAGAGGTGTCGTAGGCAGCATTCCT